TTACGCATCTTATTACAAAGATGAGTAATAAGTAATAAGTCTATCTTATTACTGTACTGTCTATCTTATTACTCATCTTATTACGTTGTAATAAGATGCGTAATAAGTAATAAGTCCATTTTATTACAGTAATAAGATTGTAATAAGTATCTTATTACTTTTGGTGCAAAAAAAATCGCAAAAAAAAGTTTCATGTAAAAAACATGCCAATTTTTGTCAGACGAAAAAATGTTGAAAAAAAATGTGTCTTGGAAAATTTGACATGATTTTTGTATGAACCTTTTCTTCAAAAATTGACATGTATTTTACATGAAACAATTTTTGCGATTTTTTTTTTTGCACCAAAAGTAATAAGATACTTATTACAATCTTATTACTGTAATAAGTAATAAGTCTATCTTATAACAGTAATAAGATACACTTATTACTTATTACGCATCTTATTACAAAGTAATAAGATGAGTAATAAGTAATAGGTCATCTTATTACAGTAATAAGTAGGTAATAAAGTAATAAGAATTACATTTTTTTACTTCTATACTTTTCATTGTCATACACTAATCTATTATATTAAATCGCTATTAACCGTATCAATTTAAACAACTCAATCCTCTAGTCACACACACACATGATGTTTGCCTAATGGAAGAATTATAAGCTCGAATCGAATGGCGATAGTTTTATGGTGTAGTATATTGAAATGGTTTCGGGTAATTTGATGGAGAGAAATTTATGATGTGCCATCAAAATGTGCCTACTCAATTAAATATAAACCTACACAAATTCTTCGGATTTTGATTAGATCTACTACACCTGTTGGCTTGTGCACACAATTTATATATTGTCCATGGGTTCGGTGTATCGATGTAAAAATAATAAATTTTCAACCAAATCCCCACATAATCGAATTTTTTGCCAACATGCAAAAACAAATGAACAAAAAATTGAATGTTCATCAAAAAAAAAAATTTCTCATTATTATTATTATTGCGCAAATATTTGCATTAAATTTTCGATTTGGAAAAAAAAGATAGCCAGCTAACGAAAATAGATCAATAATTGAATCGAACCTTTTTTTATGCACCGAAACTTTGTCATCGAAATAATTACCTAGTGTGTGAGCGAGGGAAAGAGATAAAAAAAAGCGGCAGAAAAATTAACAAAAGTCGTATTCATCCCCATATTTTTATACCTATAAATTATCTCCCCGTTATTATCTTTAGGGCTTTTTTTCCCCGGTTATACTTATCATAATAATAATCATCCTTCGTTTTTTTTCCTTGTGCGAATGATACCTTCTTTCCAAATCTCTTGCGTCCGTGGAACGCAAATTCACGGAGCAAAACGAAGTGATGAACAGCAGCGATGAAGTGAGTGGGAGAAGCGACAGAGAATAAAAAGCTCATATTTAATTTAATTTGCGTTAACCCACAATAATTCATTTGGATGACCACAGAATAGACTTCATTGCTATCGCATTCGGTGCTATGTAAATTATATCGGGATCTGCGTTATTGTTACAAAGTATTTAATCACTTCATAATTTCAAAATCATATTTGCGACCATGGCCATTGCTACCGTCGACAACAATCATCTGCTTGCATTTGCAACATACATATAAATAATTATGGAATGTGTGAGCGGATTTTTCGGTGAATTGAGCCGAATAGAAAAGAACAAAGCAACAAACACACAGAGAGCGAGTGGTCTGATGCTGTGCGAAAAATGGCCACAATTTTTTAGTTATCAGATTTGAAATGAAACACAACCATTGTATTTTGTACGCGTGGTGTTGTGCTGTGTGTATAATTTATTTTTTTTCTCTATTCTTTTTCTCTCGTTGCCATTTCTCTGGAAATCGACTACAGACCAAACATCAAATTATCCGTGCCTGGGTACCTTTGGTATTTGAAACAAAATATGCTTCCAGATTAAATATCACATTAATTTGCGAAAAACGAAACGCAAACGCACAAATAAGGTGCATCCACATTGGTTGGTTGGTTGGTTACTGTTTGCACGGTGCTTTCGTCAAGGCCGGCGTTGGAAGATTGTTTAGACAAACAAATGCGTGTACAAGTCGTGTGTTTTTCATATGCATACAGTAGCGTTTACCATTTCAATATCATCACTCGAAGAAGTCTACACCAAATTGAAGGTGAATAGGCTAACATCAATGCCACTGGTGCTATGTTGCCCATTGCCAGTGTGCTGATGTTTGTTCATAAATGTACCGTCTTTGATTAATGATGTTGCTGGATCGTTTGCCTTCAAATCACAACAATAAAAACGAAACGAATAGACAGTTCAGATGAAATAATGAGAGCTAGAGTGGAAGGGAAAGAGAGGACGAGAGAGAATGTGTAGAAAAAAAATGTGGAAAGGTAAATTGCGATATAAAATAATAACAAATGAAAAATTATAATATGCTTCATAGACATGACGATTAATGTCATAGAAAGTGTGAGTAAATAGCGGCATCCGAATGCAAAGGGATTTTTGATGAGAAGCTCTCCGACACAGAAAAATTATTTTTTGGTGAATTTGTGTGTTTCGTTGACATGATGATGTGCGCGCGCTAGGCCGCAATAAAAGTGAGTAATGAGTCACCGGCGAGTCGAACAGCAAGTCGTCCGGGGCTTATGATTCCAAGAAAAAGATTCGTCAGTACAAATGTGTCGCTGAGCATCAAAATGGGAATAGATCTGTTACAGCAACAACCGAACATAAAATATTTTTATGCTCAGCGACACAAATGAATAAAGGAAAATAATGATGGCAAACTATTAAACAAAGATAAACCAGGGTGAAAATGAAATTAATTGCTAAGATCGGGATAAATGAAAAGCATAGCGACTCTTCTAAGTTGTTGATAGTTGTGACGGCGATAGCGATGGCATCGAAATGGATTCGATGGCTTACGGAACAAGTAAATTATTTACGATTTATAACTATGTGTAAATCGTGGTTATTGTCGTATTAGGCCAAGTGCATAAGTCCTGTTCCTTTGCTGTATTTAATTAATTGTCTGGTGTGTATCAGCTAGGATTTTCGGTATTAGATACGCCATGCGATTTTTGCCCATTTTTTATATTTCCCGATTAACGCCAAGGAGAGGTTGGCCCACATTTTTCTGCTCTCAATAAGAATATTGGGGGAGACACACGGCAAATGAATGAAAGAAATACGCCTAACCATCACTTTCCAACATTACCACCACCATAGCCGTCGTCACCGTCGTCGCACCACCAATATACCGTCATCGCAAGCGTTTTTATCGCCACCGGGCACAATATCTCATTCTTGGCTACTTGCTACATCCCCATGCTAGCAACGTTGCAAAGAAAATAGCAAACGATTACCGAGCAAAAAGCACTGTACGCCAAGTGATAAAGTGTCTCACAGACATTTTATGAGCAGTAAGAAATGCTAAACAAACGAAAGAAGCAACGAAAATTGTTTTATCAAAGATCTAAAGTAACACCTATACAACGACCACACAAACACAAGCGCTCCGGTTTTTACTGTGCCAAATGCCTTTGAGTGTGCATTTTTTTTTCATCGTTATTTCATATAATATTTGATGATATCATTTTATCCGTTGTTGTATTCTCTTATTTTCAGTGTGTTGTAGTTGTTATTGTTTTCTTTTTCGTTTTCTTCTCTTCTCCACGTAATTTATACCTCCCTTTTGTCTATTAAACAATTATGTGGGGGCGAATGATTTGTTTGCGCACCTTAATACTTGCCGTAATTCTTTTCAGTTATGTTCGCATTCGTTCTGTGTGTGCTTATTTCACGTTTGTTATTCTTTCATTTATTTTGCACTTGGTTTGCTTTTGGTGGTTGGGTCGGTCGGTCATTGGGATAATTTCGCACTTATTATATCAACACCATCAGCATTCGAAATAAGAAAAACAAACGCAACGGTAACAAAGTTCGCATCATTTAACTGTTGCTTGAAACGAACGATTGTTTGTGATTTTATGACGCATTCACCGATTTGTCGAACAGAAATTTATATTTATCCTTGCGTTTGTTTAAGCAGTATTCAGATGTTATTTCACCTTTATTACTGTTATTATTATTTCTGAGCGAAACGAGAATCGAATGAAATATTTATTTTTGTTCAGTGAAGCAGAAGTTCATAAAAATAGGCCCAGCTCTTCGTTTAAATCCAGTTCCGTGGAAAATCTCTTTCTGTTTCGATAAATGCTCTCTCTCTCTCTCTCTCTCTCACATTTCTATCTCGCTCTTCCCCTTCATGTATTTCTCTCTAGCTACCCATCTGTATTCCTAGAGTACTGAACCAAATGTTTCTCTGTTCCAATTGTCGTCACACTGTAGAAGAAATAAACTTATTTTCCTGAAATGGTTTACGACTTTTTTTTCCGATGTCATCCAATTATTATTTTTGCAACGAGAATTTAAACGAAAAAAATAAATAAATAATGTCACCAGAAATACTTGTAAAATGTGGCGCAACAATGTTTTGTGGATGTGTGATGAGTTTTGGTTTGAATCCTTCGCCATTTCAGTCAGATTTACATGGCACTTTTTTCCTCTATCTTTGTCTCTTGCTCTCTCTTTCGGTTATTTGCGTGCACATTCTTTATATTTTATACCATTTTTTTCCTCGCTTTCTTCTGGAATTCACCGGCAGCTACACCAGAAGCACACCAGAACTCACAGAGAAGCGAATTTCATGACGTTGGTATTTTGGTGCAATAAATAACCAAATGTATGGAGTCATCGAAAAATTGTATTTATATATGTATACGTGTACGTGTACGTGTGTATGTTAAAGTATATGGATGGAATCAAATCGATTGAATACAATGGAAATGTCCAAAGCGTATACCAAAATTATTATTCATAACAATTTCATAACATTATCAGTAACAATGGAACAATTTACGTATTTATTTATTTATTTACGTAGTTCAGCAGTTTCTAATGTGTGTTTTTTCTCCCTCTATCTCTCTGCCCTACACAATAGGTACAATAAAAATTGTTCATCATCATGCAACACACCGAGAAAACTGATAGGTCACACGGCTGAACGAGCAATCAGTGCGAAACAATTTAGCACAAGCGCTAACAATTCAATACAACTAAAATCGCTGGGCGCGAACAATGATGTTGTTTATGGTGGTGGTGGTGGTGGTGGAGGTGGCAGCAGCAGCAACAAAAACATTTCACGTGATTTATTTTCGTCAACTTATAATTCACCGAATGAATCAAACAGATCGATAAAATTGCGAACATCACAAAAACTGGTCGATCAATCACAAGCAAATGATGGGTTTGATTCGGTGAAGAGTCCATTGTATAGTGATTTTACGGGAGATTTAAAAAAAACATTGACTCCCATTGCGGTGCATCGTTTGAATAGCCCGGGAATACATGCATTCAGTACGCCAGCGAAGAATATTTCTGCATTTTCTACGAGCACACCGTCGTTCAGCAAGCAAAATTTGTCATCGTCACAACTCCAATCGCATCACTATAGCAACCGGAGCGGAAATAGCCACAGCCGTAACACAACAATGTCGTACAACTCGCGGCAGCAATCATCCAATGACTCAAGATATTCGTTTGACGATAGCAGTACATGCCTTGACACATCGGTTGGCATAAAACAATCGCATGAAAAGTCCAAAGATAGACGTAGCGCAAATACGTCGAACATTTGCTTGGGTGACTTTCTAGCACCGTTTACATCAAAACAACATTCGCAAAAAGCACGCAAATCGCTTAATTCATCGGAACGTTCACCAAAAACAACAACAACAACAACAACAACACCAACGGCCGCAAATGTTTCGCATGAAAAAGACTTTCCAAGTTTTATGCCTAAAGGAAAAATGAATCGAACTTCGTTGACCCCGACATCAGTATCGTCAGTCGCACAACCACTGTTAGCTACAACAGCAACAACAACAATAACAACAACGCCCAAGTCAAATCAAACCGTCAAACCGACTAAACGTGTGGTACCTACACGAATCGGTGGCAGTTTGAATGAATTCAATTGTCCGGCCTTTCGCAGCGATAATAATATACTTGAATTGGCACATGAAGAGAATGCCGAAAGCACGCACGATCTACTGAAATCACAAAAGGACATGATTCGCCGTGTATTTCAAGAAGAACAACCGCCCGAAACCAATTTACGTGCGCTATTGCACGAGAAACTGAATATGGTTGGTAAAAAAACGGCAATGGGTGTGACAGCAACAAAAAACGCACCACCAATTGACCTGCAGAAAATCACAAATAAGCCGATGCTTGATAAATTCATTGATATTTATTCGATTGTGCTTGACTTGAATCTCGTAACGAATGTTCTGACTGAAGTTGCGTATTTGGTGAATTTAATCAATCTCGATGTAGACGAATATTACGACCGTAATCCGCATATGTTGGATGGTAACAGCATTAACGAGCGAACTAATGCGATTGAGTCAACATTGAGTAAAATTAATGCGGTCGGTGAGGCAACAGCGAAACAAAACACCATCGATACGATGGTGAAACAGCAGCAACAGCAGCCGATGATGCCACAACAACAAGAGGAGACAGGAAATGCCGTTGATATTGGATTGAATAAAGTCAGCAGCACCTGTGCCACAACAGTAAATGCTGTTGCCAATAGTACCGTTGCTATTGATTCCGTGCATTCGGCCATTTTGCTACTGAAGAATATCAATAATTGCGTTTATTTTGGTTTGGGCGTTCTGCAATTACAGAAAAATATCCTTCGCATGCTTGACGTGACATCGATAAAAGTGCTGCTTGAAAACGAACGCCTAACGACATTGGATGCGACAATAAAGGATGATCTAACGAGTGTGTACTCACATAAAATGCAATTGGAGCGGCCGTTACGCACTCATGATACATCGAACAGTGGTGACTTTGTCGGTGGTTCAAATGCAGCATTGCTTGCGCCCAACAACAGCATGAAAGTATTTTATCAGCAAGAGCAAGATACACAAATGAATTTTCCATCGGCCCGTGAAGCAGCTGCCTTCAAAAAGCAACGAGATCATTTTTACAGCATTTTAGGGTAGGTACACCATCATTCAGTCAATGCGAACGGGCGCAGTGAGCGATAATTCACCGCTCGGACGATTTATGATAATTTCAGGCGTTTCGCCGTTTTTTTTTCTTCTTCGTTACGATGAGAATCGTCATCATCATCGTCCATCGTTGAACAGACATGTATGGCTCACACTAAAGTGGGATAAAAGTTTTGAAAAGTAGTGCAAATTATTTTTCAACACTGATTTATCAACAGTTTTCATGGAATTCTCGTCCGCTCTACATGTCAAGACAAATAACATTTCCAACTTTAAAGAGCGAGAAACAAAAGAGAAAAAAAAATGAAAATCAACAATATCGTTAACGAAACTATTTCACAAACTTTTCGACAATTGTCAAGTTTTTTGAAAAATCGTTAAAGTTTTTCCGCATATTACCATGAACACACACTTTATGTAATTCCGTATACCAGGGACAAAAAAGTAGCAGCAACAGCAGCAGCAAACCGTGTGATTCGTTTATGGAATTGCAATTTAACCAGGAAACAAAGACATCTCTGGAGAAAATAATCGACATCTGGGCATCCGAATGTGTATCGATGCACTAATTCAATGAGTATTTGTTTATTTGGATTTAGTGCTTTCGTTTTTGTGCCACATCAATTTCCATTGAATCACTTGGAATGCTTTGCTTTGCTTTGCTGTGCTGTGCAGAGCTGTGTGCTTCGCTTTATAGCCATTGATGTTCAACAATTCTTGTTTTATATGCTCATATTATTTGTGTCTGTCTCACATTGTTTTTTTTTTGTCTTTCTCTCGTATGTATCTATTTTTGAAGGATATGGGAATCAAAGCACTTAAATCCGGCATGGGACTTTGAGACCGAACTTGGACGTAAAGTACGATCTATGCTCCATGAAATGGATCATCCAATAAATATGGCGCACATGGCAAAACTATTTACAGCACAATTGATTTTATCGTGTAATTTCAACGTACGTACCATTAACACATGTCCGTCGTCGTTTTGAAGTTGGTATTTCGGCATTTGGCTTTGCTTATGCCCGGGCTCATTCGCACAAAATATTCAATTTTGAACGAGTGGCATACCAGCCATTCAGTCAGCCAGCGATCAAGCAAGAAAAAGGCAGCAGCAGTGATGCAAAAAAGGAACGCATTTTTACGTTCACATTCAATCTAGTCAACCTAACGGTTTGAAATGTCCCTTTCACTCTTTCTCTCTCTCGCAACAGCATGTGACTCCAGAGTCATAGCGTAGAAGATTAGTGGGACAATAAACGCAATTTAATGTTTGCTTCCTTTTCTCCATTCTCTTGCTCGTTCGCTGCTTGCTCCAAACTCATTTCAATTTGTTGTTTTTTTCCTTCTCTTCAATCCAATCGCATCACATCCCTCTATTTCATTCTCTTTCTCTCTATTTCTTCTCTCTCTGCTTTCACATCGCGCTGCTGGACAAACACACATACATCACACAGGAGGTCATTCAATCCGATTTACCCAATATTGATCCGGGTAAATTGAATAAATTACAACAACGTTTGGTTGCGCCCAGCCATTTCAGCACGAATTTCCAATTTCCGGGCAACCAAATATTTTTCAAGGATTTCATAATTGCTGCCGAACATCAAACGAATTTTATCGAGCAATTGAAAATCGTTTTGACCAACGAATTGATGGAAATGAACGATTCATCATTCGAAACATTGGAATTGTCAACGATTGACGAGAACGAGCCTGAAAATCGACAAGAATACATCGTGAAACCGGAGACATTGTCCACGTTGAGTGTTTTGGCGAAATTTTTGGGTCTAATTGTGGCACGGCCATTTATCTATGAGTTTGGTGTGAACACCACCGTTGACAACCGGCAAATTGAACTTAGAAACAAGGTAAGCCTTTATTACAGAGGGAAACACACGTCATTGTCAAATGCAGATTAATCACTCACTCTCTCTCTCACCCTCTTCAGATCAGATAACTAATTTGTAATTTATTTCCATAGATTCGGACAATGATTGACATCAAGGAGATACTGAAAAAGTCCATCATCAATCACAAATTAATCGTGACACTGCCATGGATCGTACAATTCATTTCGATGTTAGATTCAGTTAGCCTACGATCCGACTATTATCGTGATGTATTCAATATTTTCTACGAATTGTACGTGATGACAGCCGAATTTGAGAATAATACAATGTTATCGATGCGACAAACGTCAGTGTTTATCATACGATCTTGTTTGGGCTGGCTGTTTGATCAACCTAACGTGCCAAACGAATACTATTCGTATCGTCAGAATCGTAAACAACTAAAGGCCATAATGCAATCCCATCCATCGTTGGGTTCAACCGAATTGACTGCCGTCGAAATATTCGTACCCAAAGACTTATCGGCATTTTTCTCAGGGAAACATCAAATCTTCTTTAAGGCCAGTGACACACAAACAAACACAATAACGGGCACATTGGAAAAGTTTAACATTGGTCAAAATGTGCTGGCAAATGATTTACAGTTACAAATGGCGCTTGAAACTTCTCGAGCTGATAAAAAACTGTCAGATACCCGAACATTTGATCCATTACTCGAAACGGTTTTGCAGGCAGCTTGCCCATTTCTAGCCGATTTCCGTGTATCAATCATGCCAAAACGCAATTCAAAAACTGTCTCTCGTACTGGTCGCTACCGACACATTACACCAAAAATTTGCGAAGCTCCGCCGTCAATCAACAATGCACTGAAAACACCGCCTACGGTACAACAGCTGCTAAACGAAGACGATGATGCACAATCGAAATTGGTAGAAGCATTTTTGCACTCACAAACTTTGTCCGTGCGACGAACTGTTGAATTTGTACAAGAGCGCGTTTATTCCGCTGTTGTTAAGGATTTTCAAGTGGAAATACTCATACCATTCAAGAAAAGCATCATTGAATCGGTTGATAAAATTCAGCTGAAAGATTCAAATGCCATCTTAAATGAACTGTATCGCATCTATTCGAATGGCGAAAAGGAGTTGCTGAAAAAATGGCAAGATTTCGTAACACCAGCAGCTCTGCAACGAGTCAAGGTAAGCGGGTACAGAAAAAAAACCTGATTGCATTTTAGAATTTAAAAAAAAATCTGGATGTGGGTGATGGTGGGAAAAGCAGATTATCCGCTGTTTTCGTTCGTTTTTCCTCGGCAAATGTAAACAGCATGAGCTGAAGGCGAAAAATGAATTCCACCTAAGTAACAACAACAAAAACAACAGAAAAATGTAATGTTTAATCAATCAATTTGTTTACCAACTTTGTAGATAACATTCGATGGACTGCTGCCGCACGAAACGGTCGATGCGTGTAAATTAACTTGCATCAATATTGCTGTTCAGCAAGCGTTGGCCAAAATCAACGAATGGCGCTCGAAAAATCTGAAGGGCATCGGTAATTTGATTAAAATTTACCTACCTATCCCAAGTTGAATATTCCAATTTGATTTCCGCATTTTCCACTTTTTTGTTATGGGCATTAACCAAATGTGTTTTTTTTCTTCTTCAACAAAATCTTTCACGCTCGCATAAAAAAACCTCATTTTCTTGTTGTTTTCCTTTTTTTTCCATCCGCCATTTAGAAATATTCTCCAAGGATATTCAAGCCGATGTGGAAAAGGTTCTGAAAAATACACCGTTGAATTTACCACAAATGAAAAATACGATCCATATTGATTTAACGAAACGACCACCATGGCAAACGTTCGACGAGCTTCAGTGTAAATTGCATCAGCTTTCAATGTATCCGGCGCAAATCAATAGCGACGATGTTAATAAAATTTGCTGGGAAATCGGAAAGTGCATCACAGAGCACGTGTTGCCCGATCCAATGTACAAAACCATTGGCGATATGTCGGTTCAGTTGGTACTTTTACTGAGTAAGTGATTCGTTTCCTCTACGATAGACAAACAGACACACCGGAGAAGAGCGTGGAAACAGAAAGCGAAATAATTAAATTGTAACTTGATCTTTTTTGTCGTTGTTAGTTTGGAATTGTCATGATGTGGTCACGAAGCAAGTAATCGATCAGTTCATCAGTCTTTGGCAAAGTAAACAATTTGCGGTATTCGTTCGTCCACCGACTACAACCACAACAACAACAACAACAACGGCTGGTCATTCGGAATCTCAAGATAGTGATACTCAAGCGAATGTCACCGAAGACCAATCAAAAAAGACCAAATCATTCGATCCAATGTACTTGTTCGCAATGGTTTTATCGCCCGTTTGTATATTTGCACAACAGTACCGACCGCCGGTCACCTTCGATAAATTGGCTTTGCTCATTACGAAACTGATCAAAAATGGTTTAATGAGCGTGGCTTTTTTAAATGAACAATGCATGAAATTGATGCATCATCAGTGGAATCAGGTATTTTGCTTAAGCAAACCAATTTCCGCAACATTTTCTAACGTATTTACGGTATTGGTGCTCTCTTTTTTTCTGTTCTGCAGGCAACATTGAAATCGATTGCACGGACCGTTCAAAGCATAATCGACGACTGTAGAAATACAATCTCATCGAATGACAACGAAGCATTCTTCCTGGAATTGCTTGCCAACCTAATATCCGGATTAGATGACATCGCATTTGAACCATAGACTAGACTAGCCATTTTTGTGTGTGTGTGTTACATCGACGAAATTCATTCTATTTTTGATCTTGTTTTTTATATTCATTTTCCTATCAAGTTGCTCATTTCCCTTTAATCAACGTTTGCCATTCGATTGGGAAACCACTTGATAGACAATTAAGTAATAAATTGAAGAACTACAATTACATTTCATTCGATAAGCGAATCGAGAAGAAAGACTTTTTTGTTCTGTTCTCAATACATTTTTTTTGTGTGCTACAATGTAATTTGTCATGTACCATTCGACTTTTTGTTATTCAATACATTTAGGGTAGCAAATTAACATTGTCTTCATTGAACGCTTCCATGAATACCATCCACGAATTACCATAGGAAAATTAGTGTTAAATCGAACGTTTGAGTGTAATAAAAGAGCGAACATGTGACATCATTTTGTAATTCAATCGCTGTATTATTTCATTTCATTTTATTCCGGGAAGCACCGAAGCATGCAATTAACGTGCAAATGTTGCAGAAAACAGAATTTTTAATCAAATCGATTTCAGAGATAAATCGACGAAGAAAACAAACAAAGCGATACGGTAAATGTGTCATAAGGCCACATTTCCAGTTTGTATTGTTTTTTTTTGCCAGCAAATTATTTGTTGTTGATACGACACACACACACACACACACACAGAGAGAGAGAGAGAGAGAGAGAGAGAGAGAGAGCGAGAGAGAGAGAGGAGGGGGGGAATGAGACGTCACACACATGATAAGCGGCCACTAGCATTTTGCTGTTGTTGTTTTTTTCACTTTTATTCGTTTGTAGACATTCCTTTGGCGTTCCATACGACAACGACGCAACCGATGAATGCGGCAATGTATGTGTGGGTCGGAGTGTTTGTGACATTTAATAAAATGGGCAATTGTATTTAATGGTCATGTTGTAACAATTGTCGCTTTAAATTATGTGTTAATGTGAATGATGGCCCATTGCGCTTCAGTTGGCTTTTATATACTCACTTTTTATGCATCTTTTTTCGTCTTTCATGCATCTCTTTTCGTCTCTACAATATAAGTGGTCAGTTTGCATATGAAGTACATACACAATCAATGCTAACGCAAAATATATAGCGAGATAAGGAGCATGCTGTGAGTGACACTTGCCGCTGTGTTGTAATGTGAGATATTCAAAAATATTCATGTATTTTTTGTAGCTAGCACCAACATAAACAACTCGGCTCAACTGTTTTCGGGCATTCAGCACATGCAAAGAGTATTAACGTCCAGAAGTCGAAATTTAAAAAATATCATTTCAATTTTCACGAGAAATTTGATGGTATTTAATTATGAAGAAAAAAAAGAAACGTAATCAGATTACTAATCTATTGAATATTTATTTTTGTGATGATCAAACTGCATAAGTCGAAATACATATTGGTCATTATCTGAAGAAAAAAAACAACTTCAACATTTCTAGATCCATTTAGTTCAATTAATTTATTCAATACTATTGTTCTATATCAGCAATCGATAATTTTAGCTTTCGCTTACTTATTTTTATTTAAGATTCTTCGTTCACTTTTTCTTAGTTTTGAGACTTGAACGTTTTTATCTACGTACACGTTTGACATACTTATTTAAATATGTTAGTTCTGACTGCGATAACACATATCAACTTCAAACTATATATATATATAGTCTGAAGTTATTCCCCCTTCTCTTGGCATGCTTGACTTTGAATTCAGTGCATTCCTATATAAAACTGACCAAATGTTGATGTGTGTCGTTGAAAATAATCAGTTTTGTATGGACTCTCGGCGTGTATACTTCGCTCCAAATTCTGCTTCTCAATCGTAAACGTTTTCTTTTATCATCAAATAAATTTCTGAACGAAATGAAGCTGTGGCTATTACTTTCGATTTGTTTGAATTTATATTTTGTAAATTGTTATATCGTCGATCCAGGACCAGTTGTGAAAGCGACCATAGGTGATGACCGTTTTTTTTGCAAAAAATTTTTTAATTTAGAAACTAATCAATGTGTATTTTCTAAAAGGTGAAATTTGGCCGAAGCCATTTCAACAAACATCATCCGATGACTTTTTCATCGTTCGGCCGAGCTTATTGAAATTTGAGGTAAATCCACATGCAATTTATTGTACGTTTTCAAATAGATTAAAATGTGTATTCTTCTTTTAAAAAAACAAATAGATCCAAAGTGAGACCTGTGATATTTTGACCGAAGCCATAAGGCGATACCAACGAATCATAAAGTCATTGTTAAAACGTGGTATCCATAGTCAACGACATGCACACCATGGACCCAACATTGTTGAACATCCAAATCCAGAGTTTCGAAACAACTCAAATTTGGCCGGATTCCTCGATGAAATCACGATTAACTTGAAGAATCCGTGTGAGCGTGAACCTCATCCTCAAATGACTGAGACTTGTAAGCGTATTTCACATAATAACAAAAAAATCGATCGTTTTTTCCCATTAAAAATCCAAACAAAAATGGTTTTTCTAGATCAATTGAACATCGCCAACGCGTCGGCTTATCTTGAATCCGAATCGATTTGGGGAATTTTGCGTGGTTTGGAGTCTTTTTCTCAATTGTTGGTCGTTTCATCGGATCACACTGCGGTAACGTATACCAATATCAAAATGGCTTGTATTTTGTAGTAATTATTTCGGTATTATATCGAACGAGAAAAAAAGTTCGTTTTGGTCATTTGCTGTCGTAGATTGTTCAGAGCTTAAGTATAAATTGTTTTAATTTTTTTTTCTCAATATTTTTTCCTTTTTTCCCTCGTGTGGATAATGCATGTTTCGTTTTTTTATAATACCGAAAGAATGGGTGAAAAAATGTATGTGTATTTTTTTCTCGGTTCAACAGCTTCGAGTAAATGGAACTGAAATCTACGATAAGCCAAGGTATTCGTATCGTGGTTTGTTGGTTGACACATCCCGTCATTTTATCAATGTTTTTACGTTGAAGCAAATCCTCGACGGCATGGCTTACAACAAGCTGAATGTGTTCCATTGGCACATCGTTGACGACCACAGGTAAATAGAGAATGTTGTGACATAAAGTAACATAAGTCATCCAAAACTAATTGATATTTCCTTTGATATGCAGTTTTCCGTACGAGAGTGTGACATTCCCTGAACTGAGCGCTGAAGGTGCATACAATATGCATATGATTTACTCGCAAAGTGAAATCAAAGCGATCATTGAATATGCACGTTTGAGAGGAATTCGAACGTTGGCCGAATTTGATACGCCCGGACATACACGATCCTGGGGCGTATCACACCCGGAACTATTGACTGCTTGCGAAGGAGTGTACAGTGGAAAGTTAGGACCAATGGATCCAACAAACGAAGACACATACATATTCATGCAGAAGTTACTTGCTGAAATTGGTACCGTCTTTCCAGACGAGTACATTCACTTGGGTGGTGATGAAGGTGAGCAAATGTAACATTTCAAATGTTGTTTTATTCATTTTGAATATTTTTCCATTTTCAGTTGGTTTTGAGTGTTGGGAGTCAAGCAAAAAGATTCAAGATTACATGCAAAAGGAAAATATAACCCGATACGAAGTACTCGAAGAACGATACATTCAACGCATTGTAGACATGGTGAAAGATTTACACCATAAATCAATTGTTTGGCAAGAGGTGTTTGAGAACGGCGTTCGACTGTCACCCGGAACCGTTGTGCACGTTTGGACTGGTGATAGGTAATACTGCAAGTTTTAAAGAAAACTTCAAGCTAATGCATTATTTTTCCATTTTTCACAAAGGGCGAAACTTCTCGATGCAATCACAAAGAGTGGCTTTCCAACTATCCTGTCAACTTGCTGGTATTTGGACCACTTATCGACTGGCGGTGACTGGCGCAAATACTATTCATGTGAACCCAGCGATTTTCCGGGCGATGAAAAGCAACAAGCTCTGCTCATTGGTGGCGAAGCTTGTATGTGGTCAGAAGTGGTGGACAATACGAATATATTGCAACGCATTTTCCCACGGGCAGGTGCAGCGGCCGAGAAACTATGGTCTCAAAAAAGTACAAAAGATGTGATTGAAGCTGGACGACGGCTGGAAGAACACACTTGTCGAATGCGGAAACGTGGTATACCGGCACAACCACCAAATGGGCCCGGATTTTGTTCCTAATGTTTTGTTGTAAATAATGTAGTAATTTGAATTGTAGATGAAGTAGTCGATTTTTTATACGGGGGTTTTAAAAATGACATTTTTTTTAATCATACTTAATAAAGAAAATGTGATTCACTCAAGTGAATTATTCCGTTGAGATTAGAATATGTTTTCTTCATTTTTTCACATATACATGTTAACATTCTTTTTAACTGAAAAAGCAAAACACATCGAAAATAATCAACTGAGTAAACGAAACGTGAACCGTGCTTACTATCAGAGCAACTGTTATCAACAGTTATTCCCGGAAGGAAAAAATCTAACCGAATTATGGTATGCATACCGGTTCATAATGATTATAATTATGGACGGGGAAATCGGGAATGTTTATAATTTAACGTAAATGAATGAATCGCAATCGCGATTTAAAAAAATCATGTTATTCGGTTTCTCTGCGTCTTTGTTGGCAAATTTCAAGGTTGACACACTCTTCAAGGCACTTGAAAAATATTACTGAATGAAAAAATCCAGGTTTGACTTGAATACAAGCTAAATTCTCGTTCGCATTACTTCGACTCTGAAAAAAAAATCAGAAATAATGGAATAATTCATTTTTTTTCTTCTGTGTACATTTTTCGGATAATAAATAAATGACATTTAATAAAAGAGGAAAAAATAGAAGAAAAAAAAAGAATCATGGAGATGCGGAGAGTCGAACTCCGGACCTCTCGCATGCGAAGCGAGCACTCTACCTCTGAGTTACATCCCCCATACATCAATTGGAAAAATTAATTTTGGTTTTAAAGGTAGAGAAATGCTGCTCGGTTCGTTTTTTTTTTATTTAGGCCAAAAAGAGACTCTGTTCCCATTTTCATATAGCAGTGGTTTGATCGTCAACCAAAATGTGCTATATAGAAATGTTTACAAAAATAATTCAATTATTTCATACACATACCACTTCAACCAGTCATGCAATACCAATTAAGACTGTTTTCAACAGAAAATTACATATTAATTACCATTTCCTTTCCAATCGTCGTATTTATCATTAAGGCCCAATAATATAATGAAATGGAATTCGGCCGAAATATTCTGTGAATAATGTCTGATAACTGTAAGATGTCTTCTATGATCACACATAACTGAAAATTGCACACTTGAATAAAAATAAATTAACATTCACAACACTCAAAATATAACGTGGTACTATTTACTAATATATTAGTGTATTTTACGATTGACTTAGTGGTTTTTCATCGGCTGAAATATTCGTACATTCTACGATGCTCATCGTTAAAACTACGATTGCATACGTAAATGCTACTATGCATGGTTTCATTGCTTCTTCGTGTCAAATAATTTGATAAATCTTCAAATCATTATTGGGAATACGCGACTTTGAGAAATTAATTTATTGCATTTTTCAAAGTGAAAATCACAAACAAATTGAAATTTCTGGTGAAAGTGGGTAATGGGTATGCCTTAAAATTCAGGCGCCAAGAAAATAATCAAAGTTCAAGGAAATCTATGGAAAGTTGTCACATTTCAAAGAGAAAAGTAGTTGTTGTAAATTTATAATTTTTGAAGTTCTATAAATTATTATTTGAAGGAAAATGCACATATACTTGATTGAGTATAGAACTAAAAACTCTTTTTAACAAAAGAATTTCAAAAGGAGACCTGTTCGAATAATGACATGGCGTACGATACCTTTTGTTTATTTTACGATATAATTGGTACATTCTACTAAGCATTCGTATATTTTACCACGGCCATTCGTAAATGCACGGACGAAATGAAATGACGCGCAATTGCTAACGAATCAGTTTTTCCTTTTTATATTCGTACGGTCAGCCGTTCAAGTTACGATGCTGCATCGTGTATTCTATGATTGCTTAGTAAAATAAACGATGCGTATCGTTGCAAATGGTAAATTTACAACTGTATCGTAAAATAAATAGAACTTCATCGCTACATTGATGACGTATTTTTCGATGCAAAATCACGATAGCCATAGTAAAATACACGAATATATTCGAAAATCTGTAACTTTTTGAAATTCATCGTAATATGCACAAATCAATCGTAGATATTACTGAGCCATCGTAATATATACGAATGATTCGTAAATATTACTGCGACATCGTAGTATTTACGGATAAAATATTCTAAAATTTACTACGATTCATTTTGAGTGAATAAATCTGTTCACATTTATTTCAACATTTTCCGACTTACAACGATCTTGTGAAACTAAATGCCATTTTTGAATCAGCTTTTGATTCGGGTGAATTTTCATTGATTTTAATGCAAATTTAAGCAAATGTTAACAAAAAGATTAGTAAATAGCACTCTTGTTCCAATTAATTAAAAATCTTGCTTATCCGAACACATTCGTTTCAATGATAATGGTTCGTTGATCTAGAAAAAAGTCTACGTTCTGTTCTCATTTCAATTAACATTCTATCCCAATGAGCCAAACACGTGCAATTATTGTGCATAGTAAATTTTTTCCCAAATCGTGCACAATTTTTACACATATTGTGCCCAGAAACAAAATTTTATCTAAAAATCACACAATTTTTGCACTTTTAGTGCTACATTTAGCATTACATTAAAATATGCACAAAATTCAAACATTTAGCATTACATGTGTTCATTGGGTAATAACAACATTGAATGTGCCAAAACAAATCGTACTGATGAACAATGTGTAATTAGGCCAGCAGCGGCAATTCAACACATTTAAAAAAGAAAAACAAACAAACCAATAATTGTCAAGATATTCTCCTCCAAAATAAAAAGCCATTTTTGACGGTACAAATTTGTTTGTCGGCAGGCAAATTAAAAAAAATTTATTAAAACAGTTAGTTTCGACAGATCGAAATTGTGAGTTGGTAAATAAACCCACATTTTATATTCAAAATGAATTATTTTGCTTATTTTTCATGTTATCTAAACATAAGAGCAAAATTTAAAAATATGCTATTTAATAGAAATGCAGCATTGACAATGATCAGTTTTGATTGAACGTTCGCCAAGTGTACAGTTGTTTCAGCTCGAGGATTTTCATTTTTTCATATAAGTTTTGTGTCATTTTTAAACACCATGAATTTACGATTATTGCCTTGGATTTGTTTGAATTTTCATTTTATAAATTGTACGCCAGATTTTATCGAAGAACCGGGTCCAGTTGTGAAAGCGACCATAGGTGATAAATGTTCTTTTCCATTAAATTTATAATTTAAAAACTAATCAATGTGTATTTTATAAAAGGTGAAATTTGGCCGAAGCCATTTCAACAAACATCATCCGATGACTTTTTCATCGTTCGGCCGAGCTTATTGAAATTTAAGGTGAATTTACATGCAATTTATTGTACGTGTTCAAGTAGATTAAAATGTGTAATCTTCTTTTGAAAAACAAATAGATCCAAAGTGAGAGCTGTGATATTTTAAGCGCGGCCGTAAGGCGATACCAACGAATAATAAAGTCATTGTTAAAACGTGATATCCATAGTCAACGACATGCGTATCATGGACCCAACATTGTTGAACATCCTAATCCAGAGATCCAAAATAGCTCATATTTTGCTGGATTTCTCGACGAAATCACGATTAACTTGAAGAATCCGTGTGAGCATAAGCCTCACCCACAAATGACTGAAACTTGTAAGCGTATTTTACATAATATCAACAAAATCTACCATTTTTCCATTAAAAATCCAAACAAAAATTGTTTTTCTAGATCAATTGCACATCGCCAACGCGTCGGCTTATCTTGAATCCGAATCAATTTGGGGAATTTTGCGTGGTTTGGAGTCGTTTTCTCAATTGTTGGTCGTTTTATCGGATCACACTGCGGTAACGTATAACAATAACAAAAGTTTTGATTCAAAACAGTGTTTTTTTGTGTAAACAGTGTATATATCGCTTATAAGTTGATTGGTTTTTATTTTTGTATTATCATATGAACATTTTTTTGCTCGTATGCACGTTGCTTCGTATTTTATGATACCGAAAAAATGCGGAAAAATGTATGTGTTTTATTTTCTCGGTTCAACAGCTTCGAGTAAATGGAACTGAAATCTACGATAAGCCAAGGTATTCGCATCGTGGTTTGTTGGTTGACACATCCCGTCATTTTATCGATGTTTCTAAGTTAAAGCAAATCCTCGACGGCATGGCTTACAACAAGCTGAATGTGTTCCATTGGCACATCGTTGACGACCACAGGTAAATAGAGAATGTTGTGACATAAAGTAACGTAAGTCATCCAAAACTAATTGATATTTCCTTTGATATGCAGTTTTCCGTACGAGAGTGTGACATTCCCTGAACTGAGCGCTGAAGGTGCATACAATATGCATATGATTTACTCGCAAAGTGAAATCAAAGCGATCATTGAATATGCACGTTTGAGAGGAATTCGAACGTTGGCCGAATTTGATACGCCCGGACATACACGATCCTGGGGCGTATCACACCCGGAACTATTGACTGCTTGCGAAGGAGTGTACAGTGGAAAGTTAGGACCAATGGATCCAACAAACGAAGACACATACATATTCATGCAGAAGTTACTTGCTGAAGTTGGAACTGTCTTTTCAGACGAGTATATTCACTTAGGTGGTGATGAAGGTGTGTAAATTATGTCACATGAAAATGTTTTCAAACAATATACAATATTTACATATTTATCATTTTGTTCAATTTTTAATCACTCTAGTCGGTTTTCAATGTTGGAATTCGAGTACAAAGATTCGAGATTTCATGAAAAAGGAAAATATAACCCGATACGAAGTACTCGAAGAACGATACATTCAACGCATTGTAGACATGGTGGAAGATTTGCAACGTAAATCAATTGTTTGGCAAGAAGTGTTTGAGAATGGTGTGCAACTAGCGCCGGCAACCGTTGTGCACGTTTGGACTGGTGATAGGTAATACCAAAAAAGGAGAGAATTTTCTATGAATACTGACAAAAAATGTTCTCTTTCAAATAGATCAAAGCTTCTTAATACAATCACAAAGCGTGGTTTTCCCGCTATTTTATCGTCTTGTTGGTATTTGGATTGGTTGTCGAATGGTGGTGATTGGACAAAATATTACACTTGCGAACCCAGCGATTTCCCGGGCGATAAAAAACAACAATCTTTGCTGATTGGTGGCGAGGCTTGTATGTGGTCAGAAGTGGTTGATGACACAAACATTGTGCAACGCATTTTCCCACGGGCCAGTGCAGCGGCCGAGAAACTGTGGTCTCAAAAAAGTATAAACAATGTGACTGAAGCAAGTCGGCGGCTGGAAGAGCACACTTGTCGAATGCGAAAACGTGGCATACCGGCACAACCACCAAATGGGCCCGGATTTTGTCTTTAAATCGACATATTTTCAATCACACTCGAATATTTCATGGAAAAACAAAGCAACTATCAAATAAATTGCTATTACTAACTTTCTGTTGAACTACCCAAGAAACATAACGCAATTTAGTCATTTTTAACGTTTTTAGTCTTTTTTAAGAGATTTTAAAATCGAATAAAACTTTGAAAAATATAACAAAAAACGATGAAAAACGATTGGTCACTTGGTTTGTTTTATTTTATAGAAACTCAAAATAGACATAGGATCATTTTCTTTGTTGCTCTAAATCAATAACCAACAACCACAACAGATTTGGGATTTTTCGCATCAAGAAAGTCCTCGGGCAACAAGCGTGCCATCATACAAATGTAAAAAATGCTCAACGTTGCAAAAAGAACGCGATCGATAATATTTCCAAGTGTTCGCCACACGCCCTGTGTCACTTTTTTGTTGTTGGGTTTGTCATTTGGTTGTGACTCAACGAGGTTTATGTCATCGTCATTCGTATCAAGCTGTGTGCCGAATTTCTGCAATGAAACATTCAAATGGAAATATTCACCAAAGACTGTATGGAGATAATTGGAGGAGTATTTAATGGTGTACATGCCATTGTAACGAGATGCTTTGTCAAAAACAGATGACCAAAGCGGTTGCTACCCATGTATGCTGTTGTTCGGTCAACCCAATCCGGAGTTTGTACATTGCATGACATCATCCCTTGTACGATGATCGTGCTTACTATCAAGGTGATTGTTATCAACAGCGAATCCCGGAAGAAAATCACTGAAAGAAAAAAGAAACGAACCAATTTATTCTATGCATACTGATAATTATTCTGAACTGTGATTTTGGGCAACTTAAACGTATAAATATGATATGAATGAATCGCAGTTGCTGTTGCAAATCTGATTTTGTTGAGCTAGCATGTTATTTCTTTAGAACCTAGGGGGTAGACACGAAATAACACTAGAAGAAAACTAGCAAAAATTGAGCATACTAGAAGTAGAATATTTGTGAAAAAAATTGAGTGATGCCTCTTCCACAAAAATAGCATTGCCCGTGGTTTTTATATGGACAAATTCTTCCACATAAAATATACTACCAATGCTTTGCTTATGGAGTTCAAATGTTTTGTTTACAAAAAGTACCGTTAATCCTTCCATAAGAAATGCATTGGCAATACAATACTTATGGAAGAAGCAATGGTAGATACTAGAAATACTAGCGGAATATTTGAGTTTCTGCTTGTATACTAGAAAAACTAGAAGAAACTAAACGCATATTTGAACCGATTTGAACAAACTAGCTATGCTAGAAATTGGTGTCTAACCCCTAGTTTAGAACTGTCTATTGATAAATGCATTTTAGCCCGTTTCTCAATATTTATACAAAAATGTAAAAAAAAACATCACGCTCTTCAACGAATTCACGATGTTTGAATAACTTAACTGGATGAAAAAGAATCATATCTTACTAATCATCATTAATTCGACTTTGAAACGATCTAAAATAAGGGAATAATCAAAATTTATGGACATTTTTTCCCAACATGTACAAATTTTGAAGAATATACAAAAGAAATAAAATTCTAAGAAAAAAAAAAGAATCTTGGAGATGCGGAGAGTCGAACTCCGGACCACTCGCATGCGAAGCGAGCACTCTACCTCTGAGTTACATCCCCGATACATCACAGTAGACAAAAAAGTCACTTGACCACACTTCGCTCTAGCACCATGCGTTACAACAACAAAACAATGTGTGCTCACATGACAGGCGGCGATAGAATTCGACGTGTGTTTACAGTGTAACGTTTCATCGCTTGCGTACAGCAAACGTTCAGTTTGTCATAAATGACGTGCCCCGATGTTCATGTATGGAATTACACATTAAATGGAATGCGGCAAAATGTTACAATTTATTATTAAAAAAAATTACTCAGTTATTGTTTTTCTTTTTCTGAATTAAACCAATTCTGAAGTGGAATATTTGTTTATTGTCTTTAATTGTTGACGAATTTGAAATTTTGGAGAATAACAGTACAGTTCCTCGTTGTTAAGCAACTGATAGCGTGTTTATCGAATTCTTCTTGTAAAGCAATATGCAAATTAAGAAACTCAACAAAAGGAATGTGTCGTATGAAATTATGGATATTCATTAAAAAGACCATTTGCATCGTTTCCTCAGTACTATATATATCTCCCTCGTACAGAGCCACAAAAAATGTCCAAAATCATACATTGATAATATCAAATGAGTCGAAGCACTGATACGCTTATTTACAAGCAAACATCGTTTGCCAAACAATTACGAAAAAAAATCAGATCGAATGTAATGCGTTGAAAAACTGAGTCAGCATTTAATTTGTGGTTATTAAATTTTAGTCGATGAAAAAAATGCGTATATTTCAATGTGTTTTTTTTGTTTGTTATTCTAACTATCACAGCCCTTTTGGTCATACAGTATTGATAAGAAAATCTCTGGATGACAATTTATTTACAATGCTTTGAATGCGATGTTGGATAAAATGGATATTTCATGCGAATATTCCTTACGTATATCAGGTACAGTATCGCCGTTATGAGGTACGATCCAGAATAAATGTTGCATGTAGAGAAAATGGCTCAACAAACTCAGAGCGAGCAAAATGAATCGGTGATTATGCTCCGAATCCACCCATAATGTTATCAAATTCAATAGCACCAACGCTAAAATGATACAATATCAAACAAATTGTACACATTTATTTCAATCGCATTTCGTCCAGTTAAAAAAAAACCACACATACCGAATGCTGGAATGAAAATGGTAGCAGAATGGCTGCCCGAATGGCGTTCCATTAAAAATGTAAACTTTAGCGATGGGTATGTTTGTTGGGTGTCACTGAAATTGCCTGGATTTCGTGTGTACGTAGCTCCGATGAGTCGCCACTGCATGTCTTGCGAGGAGAGATCTTGTTCGGTGAGAACGGTTCGCGAAACATTAAAATCAACTTCATCGCCCGAGTTGACCCACGTTCCAATATGCAGCGTACAGTTTTGTTCATCGAATGGCCAACGATTGTAGTTTGGCATACATTTGGCGGTATGCGAACACGGTGGAATGCACGACACGGAGCCAGTCGATGAAATTACACAATTTGCATCCTTACAAGATTCTTCGGTGGCAGATGCAACGTCACTGTAAAATTTGGAGTTGTTTACTAATTTATGGATTATTTTTGTTGGTTGATGGACTTTTCTGATTTTTTTTTTTTGAAAGAAAATATTGAATTTGTATGATTGAATTGAATAATACCTGTTGTACATAGCCAAATCTGGTTGCCAAATCGTTTGACTGGATTGCGTTATCGAAGTTAACTTGTTGTAATCGTTGGGATTCCATTTCAAATGGTCATCAGTCCAAGTCTAAAATGAATTGAACGTAAAATATCGGCAATGCTCGGAATTTCTAGCCAAAACGTACCATCGCCAACCATGTTGAAACCACCAATTTGCTATCCGTATCGCTGAACGTGAAACCTTTGATGATCATTTTGAATCGAATCGTAATTGGGCCATCGCGCAATATTGGACGATTGTCGCGGTCGTAATTGCAAAATAACGTTTTCCGAAGGCGTCCTTCATCGTTCTTCGGCTCCATATTACAGTCAATGGCTTCAACTCCTGAGCGAATAAAATGAAATTTGTAGACAAAATATTACATAGACTTTATTTAGATTTTTTTTGTTTTGTTTTAATTTTCAAATCACAGACAAATGTTTTTTTTTAATTCTATTAAAGTCTTTTGTTCTTTTTGGATAAATTGTTTTTCGCTTTCAGCAAAAATTGCTTTTAATGGCACACAACAAATTTTCTCCTTTACCATTCAACAAATAATGGAATAACAAAACACTGATTTGGATTAAAATGAACACTTTTCGCATCTTCTTTAACATTTCAATGAGTTTTTTTTTTTTAAATTTTAATTTGGAGTTTCTTGTTTAGAGATGCTTCTCAATTGATGTATCGAGTCAAACTGAAATTAAATTTTGCATGAGCCTCGAATTGTGCGGATGGTAAAATCAGTCGGTCTTATCGCTTTTGGATCCGCCCATGAAATTCAATATTCCAGCCCGATCGCAGGTTGGCTCGATCATTCAACCGACATGATAAGAGACAATATGAAAAATATCGATTCTTCCGGGAGGGAAACAACTTGTGAAAACAGTCACTTTGTACAATAATTGAATTTAGGTTGACTAGAACACGGTAGCCATTTTGTGCGATGGACTTTTTTTTCTCTACGATCGATTTTCATTTCATTGATTGAACTCAAAGAAGAAAATTGAAATATAAATGCAAATTCGAACAAGAACAATAAATCGTTTAATTATATGGAAAATTGTTTGACAATTAAACACATAAAAATGCTACGTATCAAGAAAAGGCATTGGTCAAAACTATTTTGTTTGCTTCTTTTTTCCCCCTTTGTTCTGAAGACAAATGATCTTTCGATTAGAATAAATAATTGTTGCTTTTTGTTCAATTCAAATTAAAATTAACCTAATGTACAGCACGGTTTTCGTGTTGTTCAAGCGAGAGTAAAACAATGTTCAGAAATCACAGCAGAATTTAACTATCGAAACAAACAAAAACAAAATATTTTTTTCTTCAACTGATAAGAGCTTGAACACGAGATATTTGCTGTTCTTCCGCAAACACAAAACTATATGGATCGGTTTTTAAGGGAATTTTCATGCAAACTGATCAATTTAATTGGATAAAAAATGTTTTTTTTTTGATTGAACAAAAACAAATCTTTCTCAAAAATGTGAAAAAGTAAAAATTTTCATTAAAATATAAAAAAATGAATTTGTTCATCAAAAAGACTGATTTTTTTGACCGTCGTGTCTTTCACTTTTTCAAATTAAATTAAATTTATAATTAGAAAAAAAAAACAAAGAAAAAAATTGATCAAAATTGAAAGTGAAGAAAATGAAGAAAATTTGCGGAATGTTGTTGAGCTAAATATGTATTGAGATCAAAGGAAAGTCAAAAAGTACAAATTTTCTTTATTTAACTCTGATTTAATTGGTTTTTTTTTGTTTGTATTTTGTGTTCGTTTATTTTTCTTCTGTGTTGTTTGCTGTAAATTTAACTTTAACGACTAACAAGTCAAACTAATTGATGTGATTCTTTTTCTCTCGTTTGTTCATGATTCATAATATCGTCCGAAATCCATATAGATTGTGTGTTTGAATGAGGACACTTAGCTTCGTAAAATTGTACCTAAGTTAAATGGGTGTTTATGCAAAGAATTCACATAATTTATTTGTTTAATTTACATTTTGTGTTTTTTTTTTCTTCAAATTTTATCAATTAACATACAAATAGTTTTTTTATTTTAAATGTTGAGGTTGTGTTTTTCTTCATTAAATAATTTGAGGGGGAATCCTTAAAGTATATAGTTGTGTCATTTTGTTAAAAGTAAAACTCTTTATAGAGTTGTTGACATACTTAGCTAAAAGAACAGAAAATGAATGAATGAAATCGAAGCAATGACGTGATGTACAAATAAAGTGAATAGTTTATAGTGGTGACATCAAAACTAAATGGGATGAGTTTCGATTTGGAGTTCTAGCGAGGAACAAAAAAAAATGTTGATCCTTCTTACGTGTGTCTATTTACTTGATTTGCTAAATATATTAAGTTCAAGGAAAAAAAACCGTTCATGATTAGCGTTTATTTCAGTTTTTTGTTGCTTATTCTACCCTCAAATTACGTCAACACTCAGTGAAAGTTGACGTCTATGAAGAAACCCAAAGAAAAATAGAGAAAAGAATTCATTACATTTTCATTTTCAAATCAATGTGTGTGTGTGTGTCTGTGGTGACTTAGCATTCCATTATTTGCCGGTACATTAGTGAATGTATCTCTTTATTTTTTTTTCTGTTCCTGTTTCACATTTCCCAATGGCATTTTCATTCAAAATCATTCGCTTTTTTCAGCCATAGTTTTGTTTTAGTTGAGCGCTGCTCTGTTGTTTTTGCTCAATCATTGAGCCTCAATGCGTTTTGTTTTGTTTTTTGTTTTTTTTCATTTTCTGCAATTTTTAATTACCAATTTCGATTTCCTCCTCCGCGGAAATTTGGACGATATCCGCCGCCGCGCATTGGACCTTTTTGATTTCTAAAGTATGGCGAATTTCCTCGTGTCGACTGATTATTATTACGATAGTTCATCTGTGGCGAATGAGTTTGGTTGACATGTGGTGACATGCCCCGCGGATTATTTAACAAAAATGGGCTCTGCGGTTGATTGGTCGGCGAATCAGGCATTAGTGAATTGTGATGACCAAGAAATGGTCGAGCATTATTGAATCCAGTCGGTATGTCAAGCAACGGTCGTGGACCGGGCCCTGGTCTTGGCATCGGCAAATTCGAATGGAGCAACATTTGTGGTGGTTGCAACGGGTGTAACACATCTTGTGCATTCGATCTGAAGGGATTTGGCCGTTTTGCACAGTCTGGTGATCCAAAATTTGGTGCTGGACCCAATAATCCTTCCGATCGTGGTTCCATATTTGATTGTTGTAAATCATCAACCGATTTATCTAAAATGACATTTTTCGCCCGGAAATTTCATAAAAAATACACCAAAAAAAGGGAATGTGAAAGGAAAATTTACTTTGAAAGTCTGGAATTGTGTCAAAATCTTCGTCTGACATTTCCATGTCGATGCTTTCGGTGTTGTCGCGCCCGTTGTGGATTTTCGATGGCGATCGATTTTGTGAGGCTAAAAATTACCAAAACAAACAAAAAACAATGTCATTCTTGAGCTTTGAAAGAGCTCTTTCGAAGCACCGCTATGCACATACACATCAGCGGTGATTCTTCGGGAAAGAGCTAGTGAACAGACCGATATCGTTATGAGATGTACCTTTAGCACTTTGATGCTGTTGCAAAGGCGGATTTTGGAATCTCGAAGAAATCGGAGATCGCAATAACGGAGCATTCATTTTACCTGTGTCTGACGTGCTAATATTTGACGACAATAGCATCGCGGGTGGTGACGGCGGTGGCAGTAGCTTCGAATCTGTCGCATTATTCCTCTGAAATAGGTGGGAATTTTTAGGATTTATTTGTATCCTTTATTCATTATTTTTTGGAGTATTTTTTTTTATTCAGGCTAAAGTCAATTAGATCAAAACCTAAGGTTCAAAGTTATTGAATTTGAAAAAAAAACTACCATTGAATCAATCTGTGATCCATTCGCATCCTTTTCGGAGAGTTTCGGTGATCCAGTAAGTGAAATCAGATTCCGATGGTCTACGTCAATGAGACGACCTCGATCCTTGGCACCGAGTGCATTCAAACCGTTCATTGGCAAGATCAACTGTCGGTGGTCAACGTCTCCAGCGCCGGCAATGTGTGAATCATTCACGCCCGGTTCAATGTATTCGATAACATTCGTATTAATTCCCTTACGTTCGTAATGCGGTGGTGATCGTGGTGCATCCATTGTATGATTGAAACTTGATTCTTGATTCGAATTCCATGACATGTCCATTTCCCAGTTCTCCTGTCGATTTGGTGGCGGTGGTAGTGGCGGTTGTGCGATTGGCGCATTAAATGTGCCCGAATACGATTGATTGTACGATGAATTGTTTGCTTCGCCACGGAACAAATTTGTCGACACATTACCGGAGGTGTTTTCATACTGGGTAAATTCGTAGGTGCTCGTTTGTTGCGATGGAAATGCCGACTCATAATAATTTGGACCGCTAACAGCGGGCACTGGTTGTGGGGGAATTGCCGGCGTGTATGTGTCGTGCATTAGAGTCTTGAAAAAATCATCAATCTCATTGTTGTCTTTGCCCGACGTCGAATCGATCACCTGAATGTGGGCCTCTTTCGTTTTTGGACTCGATGTCGCAAAGTCGTTTATATCGAATGGCAAACGACCACCGTCCATATAACCCATCATTCGATTGGTTTGTGCGTTGAAAACATTCTAATCAAAGGGAAGTGTCAAATTATTACTTTTACTGGTTTTGTTATTGATTCAACATTTTAACAATAGAAATAATAAAATTCAATTGATTGCTGACCTGATTGAAGTTCTTCTCTCCCGGCAGCACAAAGTCATTGTCAGCCGGTCCCGGCGATGGTGCATTGATGTCGGGCGATGGTATTGGGCTTGGCAATGTCTTTGTGAGCTCTTCCAGTCTTCGTTTCATTGTTTTAATGCTGTTGCCATAGTTGCGATAGGCCGTTGCCACAACTTTCACTTCACCACGTTGATTGTGGTAAAAGGCGTCCGCTTGATCCAACACCGTAATCAATGCCGTTCGAGCTTTAATTTCATTTGTTAGTGTTTTTATGTAGTGCTCCAATTTGACACGTCGTTCAATCACCTCCTTCTCCAATTCTTCCACTTGACTCCGGTCTGAATGGAAAGATTGACAATCATTAAACTCATATTGAGAATCGTTTAATGAATAATTCTTTGAACTCTTCAACAACATCATATATATTTCCATACAATGAAAACACGTGATATAAACAAAACCCATACCTTTCAACTGGGAAATCGTGTCCTTATCACATAATGATGCTTTTGGTAAAGCCTTAAAACTTCGATCCGTTTCTTTTTCCAATTTAATGCAATTTTTTATGTTTGCCACGGTAATTGTCGCTTGTTCATCGTCATTTTCATTGGGTGGTGGTTTTTTAGCTGGATTTATGCTCAACAGGCCTCGCAGATCCGACAAAAACTCTTCATTGTAAATTACTCGCTGTTCCCATATCCGGAAGATTCGTTCGATTTTGTGTTTGACTTTTTCTTCCCTGTGAATCAATTTGTGGCTTAGAATTAAATCGACATGTCAAAAACAAACATTTTTCGTAGCTCAATACATACCTGACCATTGTGGTGGCCCGTTGCAATGCCGTGCCCCAGCTTTCGACAAATTCATAATTCTTCCGTTTGCTGTACTGAATCACGTCATTTGCTAAATAGAACAGAGTCAAGCGATGCTCGACTTTGACTAGAAACAAAATTAAAGTTTAAATTAAGCGAAAATCTGATGGTTTTTCTAACAGCTGAATGCTATGAACCCAGAAAAAATATAAATGATTGTATATAATGTTGATCGTTATTCATGGCGGCAACAGAGTTTGACGGAAATCTGATGAGATCTTACCCTGTTTGAGCACGATCAACCAACTTGTGACAATTTTTTTGTGATGAGAACGGTTCTGTAGGCACCACGCTGACAACGCCTGTATACTATCCTGTGTGTCTTTTAAATTGGTTAAACGCTTTTCGAACTCCGCCGAATCAAATTCGGCTTTGCTGCTCGATTTGTCCATTGTTTTCTCACTTTTCATTTGTTCAAAATGTTATAAAAACACTGTCTATGCCACGATAAAATTAAGTCACTTTATTTTTAAAAAAAATGCCACACCATTGACTACAAGGTAAGATACTTTATTCACACGGTCATTGCATGATACACATCAAACAACAGAAAAAAAGACAATTCAATGCACGAATCAAACATTAAAATCTTTCACTCGGGAAACACATGCACTACAGAGATTGAAGCTACTGTCACAATTGTGGTCGAGCCATTGACATATGTGTCTCTCTCTATTTACACTCCCTTCTCATGCAAATCAACTTTCTTTTCCCACTGTAAATTGTCTCACTAGGTTAATTTTAAAACAATTTCCGTCCAAATGCTTGGTCCTACTGTGTTGTATACATTTGTTATCCTTTTTCGATAAGAAAACACCACTTAATTCAGCAAAATGTTGAAAATTGATTTTTTCCCTTTTGGCTACGACAAATCAACTCAATTTTGGTATACCAAAATCAAACAAAAACAAAATGTTTGGTTTGCAAAATGAAATTGTATGCCTCTTTACACCGTTTGTGTCACATAGAATCGATTTAATATGTTTAAAATCGAATTTTCCACGAAAATATTCCGATTATAATGCGACCGATGATACGAATTCAAGACGTACATGTACACGCCATTTTTGTTTTGCAGCTGAAACTTTTTTCTTAAATTTTTTTTTTCTCGGTTGTCGTGTGTAGATGTTTCGTTGGTACGGTGAGGAGACTTTCCATTGACAGTGTAGCGCTGTTGACAAGCACAACAACAATACGCAATATAAAATGCAAACTGCACTCAACACCAAAACGTTCAGTTGCCCAAATGTCAAAATCAATTAGCGGCAGCGCATATTTTTGACAATGGCCACACCAATTCGCTCGGTTATTTTGTGTACAGGTGGATTTGAACCGCATTTTGAATACATTTTTGTTGATTCGTTTGACGAGATGAAATATTCAAATGATGACTAATTTTAGAGTAATCATCATGGCATTGTGTCGCAACATGGAACAACAAATTGTCTTTTGGATTTTAATTTCTTTTTGACATATTGTTTTTGTAATCTTAGTTATTTTGATATTATAACGCTTTTCAATTGCCAACAATATATCGATTCAACAAATATTTAAAAGGGAAAAAAGTCATAGTCACAACAGGTCATTCAATGTCTAAACTTTGTCGGTCTTTTTTCCATCTCGGGAAAAGTGGTTCTTCACATTTTTACTAATTTCATCGAATCTTTCAGCGCTGCATAGAGGCGTGTCAACCTGAAAATAAATAATATTGCTCATACTTAGGATTTCTATCTTCATCCAAATAATCCTTACCTCCTCAGTCATATCGAATTTGTCATAGTCAACAAAATATTCTCCATTCTCTGTATCGTATGTAACCATATTCACAAAACGATGACCCCATGCAATTTCTCTCGATAGATATGATGTTCTTTCCTCTGTGGTTTGGCCTGTTGAAGTCGATGCGCCGGCGAATGTTACAATAATTTCGAATCTATAGCGAAAACAATATTTATTGACAATTTCTCCTTATTTTTTTTTCCTGTTGAATTATGCGTTATTTTTCGACGATTCTAGCATAGATTACCTTTTTTCTAAAAACTGTGAAGCCGAGAGAGTATACAGAGGACTTTTGCTGTCAATCATATGGCATACAGTAACTGGGAATATGATATGAATTCGACCGTTATCCTGAAGTTTTATTGGATGTTGAAATTGATTCAGTATATCACCCTCGACTGATCTGAAAAATTCCAGTGCCATTTGTCGAATGAAATTGATTTTTTTTCTTAATCTTGAAGGAAATTCTCAATACAACGGATTTGTCTTGATTTAATATTGAAAAACAAAGAACAAGTTTCAGGATTGGATTGTCAGATTTTATTTGTTGTGTTGTTTACCTTCAAATAACAGTCAATCAGTGACAGTGAAAATGAAACAAGTTCTTTGTTACATTAAAAAAAGTTGTTGCTTACGAAATTTCTCCAAATAAACATGCCTGCACCATCGAATCGATGATGTGAATTTCATTCGGGTCACAGATTCGGAATATTAGACAAAGTTTGGAATCTCTCTGACAGATCACTGCTTTGCGGCTAAACTTAAGGTCATATGGTTTACGCGGTGGACGTGTGAGTTTAGCGTAAATAATGCCAATCAATGTTCCATCAATGGCTATACCAACCACAATTTGAAACACAAACAAAAATACTGCCTCTGGGCATTCTTCATTTGGGTATCGATCGCCGAATCCAACTGTTGTCTGACGTTATGGTATGCATATTCATTATTATCTGTCCTATAAGTGGGAAATACAAAAGAATTACCTGTATTTCAAAGCTAAGTAGAAAAAATTCCGCCAAACTTCTTGCACCAGCAACACAGGTCATCTCGCCTTCATGCAACGATTTGCCACTTTCCCTGTTGTACGTCAAATCATTGTGAGCGTACGAAATTAAATACCACATCATAGCAAACACCGTCCAACATCCAAAAGTTGTGATCAAATATGCGGACATAACGTTTCGCCAACGGGTATCAATCTGCAACAAATTATCCCACTTTGTTCACAATGAAGTTAATAAAAGCGCAATAGAAGTCCACTCACGACTGTTGTAAAAAAATCCTGAATGTATCGCTTTGATCGCTGTGGCAAGTTAGCAAAGCAAATGTTCCGTTCGCCGGTTTTACTTATGACACGTCTTGCCTTCTGCGGACGTCTTCCATTGTGCGAACACTGCGTTTCTATACTTTGACTTGGCTCCGATCCCGTTGGAGAAAATCCATCTGAAATGTTTGCAAAAATGCACTCAAATTACTTGTTTTTTATTTACAGCAGCGCCTGATGTGAAATTTGTTGTTTCTTCAGCAATATCACCGCAAATTCGTTTTTTTTATGAATCGTTTGATGTGAATACTTTATCCTTATCACCTGGCATATCGTCGGCTGTTGTGACATTTTTACGGCAGCTCACTTTAGGGTTTATCATTTCTGCGATATTGAAAAGCAACTGTCTTCTGTTATCATCAGATATACGTTTAAGAACATCGAATAAGTGCCACACGGCTGTACTCAGATTCAAGTCAAACATATTCAATTCGAAAGCACGTCAAGTAGAGACAGTACGATTCGGATGTATAATTTGATCTAATAGTTTTAATGACCGCCCACAGAAATTTTTCTAGCGTAGATTCAAAGTTGGTTGCTTTAGCACAAATAGATGCAGCTTTACTCTATTTAATAATCATTTTTTCTCGACAGTGTAATGAACGAATTCACTCACTGATGTGTTTGTATTTCATACTTGATCTTGATTAAACGGATTTTAAATGGCGATTTGTGGAACACAATTTTATGAGTATACGTCAAATCAACGATTCCATTGCGCCATGCCTACTGCAGTTTCTGTGCTAAAGTTTACTAAATTCGGATTCAGTTGTTGAAAAAAAAACAAAGATTCTCAATTTTAACTAAAAATTATGAATTCTCATTCGAAAATATTTATATCAATAGTTGTAACCTCGTATAGTTCGAACACATTGAACATTTTTATTTCGAACTTTGTTTGCAAATTCAATATTCTTAGGATGGTTTCTGAATAGCAAAGACTAGTCTATATTTATTTATTTTTATTTCTTTATAATGGTAAAAAAAAACAGGATAAATCCCAATTACATTTTTCACCTAGTGATTTCATCATGATTTGTGTTGATTGATGATGATTTATTAATAAACTAAAATAAATAAATATATTTTCTTGTATAACAAAAAAGTAAAGAATTAGGTAAAACAAAAATTAAAAAATAAGAAATTGACAACTATCTAATTATAGTGGTGGTAATTACAGATTATCGATTTTGGTTAAAATGGCTTATTATTTTATTTTTGAATTGCGAATGATTTAAGTTTAGGATGTCGCCTGATTTAAATTTGCGCTCAAACAATAATTGTGCTCTAGTAATCGGGTTTCTTTGAAGTCCGTAATCATTATTCGGTGGTTGTGGGTTAAATAGTATGTTTGATCTGTTCGTATGCCGATTTACTCTGAAAATCGGTCTGGAGTGTATACAAAGGTCACACGTACAAATCTACGCATCACTTGAATCCCATTTCTCTGATAAATGGCTTTTAACTTTTGCACAAAGTCTATCAAACCTTTGAGCACTGCATAAAGGTGTATCAACCTGTAAAAAGAAAGTTCGACTAAATTTAGTCGTATCATTCATTTTTCAATTTGATGTGAAAATTCTATTACTTCTTCAGTCGTTTCAAACTCGTCATAGTCAATTGAATACTCTTCATTTTCTGTGACATATCGAACTATATTCACAAATCGATGTCCCCACATAATTTCATTGGATAGATACGATGTTCTTTCTTCGGTGGTTTGGCCAGTTGATGATGATGCACCAGTCAATGTGACAATTATCTCAAATCTGTTCTAATGAAAGATACTCAAACCAAATTCCTCATTACATTTTGAATGGTTTTACCGTTTCGTTAAGAGTTGTGAAGCTGAGAGTGTGTACAATGGACTACTATTGTCAATAACATGACAAACGATCACTGGGAATATAATATGAACTTGACCTTCGTCATGTAGTTTCAATGGATATTGGAAGTGTTCAAATATGTCGCCTTCGTTCGAGCTGAAAATAGAATTTTATGCGTGTTCACTAAAATATAAGGCCGTATTTTGTAACCGTAACCGTAACCGTAATAGCCGCATGTGAAGCCATTAACTGTAAATTACTGTCTGGAATGTTTACCCTAACTGTTTGAAATAAACAATTTAATGTTTTGCGGAAGAAATGATAACGATCTTAGATAAAAGTCTTGCTTACGTAACTTCACCGTATAAACATGCCTGTATCGTTGAACCAATGATGTGACTCCCATTTGGATCACAAATTCGGAACATCCAACAGAGTTGCGAATCTCTTTGACAAATCACAGCTTTGCGACTGAATTTCGAATGATACGGTTTGCTTGGTGGTCGTGATAGCTTCGCATAAATGATACCGATCAATACACCATCGATGGCTATGCCGCACACAATTTGCATAGCGAAGAGAAAAACTCCCTCTGGACACTCTTCGTTTGGGTATCGTTCACCAAATCCTACTGTTGTCTGATATGAGTTTATTATTATTCGAATAATAGCAAATTGAATCAACAAATTGAAAATAAAAATCCGTTTTGAATGAAACTGGGTTCATAACAAAAATTTCACCTGTATTTCGAAACTGTACAGAAAATAATCGGTGAGACTTTTTACACCTCTGATACATGTCATTTCTCCTTCGTGCAATGACATTCCAGTTATATCATCGTATGTTAAATCATCGTGCGAGTATGAAATTAAATACCAAAGTACTGCGAAAAAAGTCCAGCAACCAAAATCGGCGATCAAAAATGCAACTATTACAATTCGCCATCGTGTTTCAATCTGTGATATGATATCAGAATGATGAGTAAAAAATCAATAGGTCTATGACTAATGGATATGAATCAACTCACGATTGTGGTGATAAAATCTTGAATATATCGCTTCGAACGCTGTGGCAGATTGATGAATTTTATGTTTCGTTCGCCAAATTTGCTTATGATACGTCGATATTTTTGAGGACGTCTTCCGTTTTGCGCGCAATTCACTTCCATACTTTGACTTGGCTCTTAATCACTGATAAAGATGAGCCAGATTTCTGATTTGAACCACTCTGAAATATTTGCAAACCTTCAGATCTACTGATAAAATCTGATTAAAATGATGCGTCTCGCCATTTTTATCGCCGCGGAACTGTTTTGTTTTTGATATTCTTCTATTTTATCTTTATCACATCACACATAAGATTTTCTTCATTGCGACTGTTTGTATTGAGATAACTTTCACTGGCGAATTGAAATGAATTGTTTACATTCTTTTCATCTTGTCATCAAATTTTGATCTATTCATATTTTTTTGTTTTATCGCCGAATGCCTAATGACTAGCAGCTAGTCTACTTTGCCTGTATTCGACATCGTTCAATAAAAAAATAAAGCAATTCATTCCAACTGACGTTCAATGAACCATAACTTGTGTTGAGTTAACACGAACACTGTTGACCCGTGTACTCCTTTTTCGTTCAAATATCTTCCTGATATTTTTCAAAGAAAAACAAAACATTTTCAACTATTATATGCCAGTAGATCTTTATTCAAACTTTGAGAATCTTGTTCATATCCAGCATTGAATGTGGAATTAATAAAATAAAATCTGATCGACACAACGGCAAAAGATGATAAACAAATTGTTTATGGTTCTTTGCCACTGTGCGTACTATAACTTATCATTAGTTTCAACTGGCAAGACTTAAGAATGTGTCTCACGTTTCCATAGAATCTTCTGTGGATATTGCAATCATGCTTAAAATCATAAACTTATGCGAATTTTGTGCGAATTTTTACAAACTTATCGAAATGGTTCTTAACCTAAATTTTGTACAATTGTAACTATAATGATTGTATTAGTGGCTTAGAGATTTATTGACGATTCAAGTTTTGTTGTTCATGGAATCGACGTCGCAAATCTTCCAGTTCAGCTGCGTAGACCGGATACTGTGCTTGGACGCTGTCCAAATGCAACAGAGATGCGAGACCTTCATCAAACAGATCCAATTCTCCTTCAAGATCCATATGATTAACGAAACGATGATTAAAGTCACTGTGAAAGTAGCGTCCTTGCATGTAACGCACTTGACTGGTGAGCTCTTGAAGCTTTTCATCCATGTAGGATGTAACATTGTTTTGCCATTTCCGAATATGATCGCCGAATTCCATTTCGAGTGCAGCCAATTTCTGCTGTAGCACCCCATTGAGCGTCTGATTCAGTTCGCTTGTACTGATCGTGATCATTTCACCATTCTCGTCGTGTGTGTTGTTTGTACGACGATTTGGCGTGTGTGTAATCGGTTCCGCAGTAGCGATGGATGATTTGTGACTCTGCTGATTGTTTTGGCAATTTTCTTTATCTGAAATATCAAAATGCGTTAGAAATTAAATTGAAATATCCACTCCTTCTGACTTACTCACCTTCTTCATCGGCAGCATGTGTCGCTTGACTCAATTTGCTCTCGATTTTGGTCTCACCACCATCATTTTCCTCATGCACCTTTTGAACGAAAGCAGCAAAGGCATTCGCAAACACTTTGTGATTGATGGTATGCAGCCATTTCTTGTATGTCGAACCATTTTGACCATCTGCTTCGTGTGTTTCCTCTTCTTCGATGCCTTCCAATGCAATTTTCTCGGTCAAGCGTCGACGCTTTAGTTCGATCACCGGCTTTTCTTTCTTCTCGTTTGGCTTGGAAATTCGGATTTCTGGCGGTTGGGAGGTGCGCTGAAAACCGCTTTGGTCGGATTGACCCATCGATAGCCGTGATTGCACGCTTAAAATCGAATCGGATTGAGTATCGCCGGCGCCGGGCCAAACTTGCGATGGAGTTGCCATTGAATCCAAGGAAAAGTCATGCATCTTTTTTGTTGGCATGAGATCGCCCCAGCTGTCACGTCGTTTTGGTGTTGCTAAATCGGTAGCCGCTACATTATTATAATGGCAGGCATCAACGAATTTTGCGAATGAATCTTGGCCGGCCGATAGGCGAGATGTGCCAGCTGTCGTAGAAAATGACTCGAAATTCGTACAATTGCCTGTTTGATCGAGCGTTGTGTTCGAAGTGATAGTTACGCTGGGTACGAATGC